CTGCCAAAATCAAGTCCTGCAGCTGATGGGTCTCTCCTCTGTCCTGACAGCTGTGGGGCACTGCAGGATACTGCCAGAAGGGAGAGTCCCATCAACTAAGGGACTCTCCATCCCATGCAGCTATGGAGTGCTGTCAAGGCAGAGAGTCCCCATAGCTGCAGGAATCCCAGCCCCAGTGTGCAGGATGCACTCCCATGGCTAGGAGCTCCACTAGCTGCCAGGGCTCCTAGCCACTCCTAGACCCTGCTGCACATGCAAATTAAAACCTGGGATAGAAACCAGTTATAAAGTTATCACATTTTCCAGCTCTAACTTTATAACTGGCTGGACCTTTTTATGGTGTGATAGACTGGCTACGTAGGCAAATTAACTGAATGAAGTGCACAATTAACCCAGTCATTGTATGATGCATGTAACATGTACAGGGGGGACCTATGTGACTTAAAGTCACTTCCTCTCTCTGTGCTTCTGTGAAAGAGAGAGAGTTCTACTGACCTCCTTCATACAGCACTGAGAAATGCTGGTGAGAACTGGCTGGTATTACAGCTAGACATTATGGCCACTTACGGACGTTAATAAAAAAGGCGCTTTACTTTAAACTCAGTGCACACCCATGCTAAGCCCAGTGCATGCCCAAAAGAGGCATTATGTTAGCTGGACCCAGTTTGTCCAAAGTCTATATAGATCAGGTGCTTCAGCAGGACTTTTATGGCTCTTTTATCAGGTGCTTCAGCAGGGCTCTTTTATAGCTCTTATATCTTTTATAGCTCTTTTAGGATTGAATCAGCTATTAAATAAAAGTGCCAAAAAGCTCCACTGAAGCACCCGATCTATATAGGCACTGCAAAGCCAAGTCAAACTAACATGCTGCTTCTTCCAGTAAAGCACATTTTTGTTTTTGATTTTTTCCCCCCAAATCTGTTAGTGCCCTATTATTAATGGATCCAAGAAAATGTTCCAGTTTTATCAAAGTGGCTCACAAACAGATTCTAGGTAAATTTTCAAAGGCATAAAATGGCAGTTAGATACTGAAGTCTCCCTGGCAATCAATGAGAGATCAAAGTCTAATTTTCATTTTACCTTTAAAAGTCTCTCCCTAAACTACACCAGGACACAAGCACAAAGCACAAAAGCATGATACCTTTGAATTACTGTTCAGTAACAAGTCCTTCTGCCTAGGTCCTTGGATAGAAAAACTGCCCATTGCAGTATCCTTGATAAGAAGGTGAGAACTACATTTGTTTTGAAGTACATTAAAATACCGTGTTGGATTCCTATTCTAAGCTCTTAGAACATTTTATGGGATATTACAATTCCAAGCATAGAGGAACCAAGCCTTTCTCCCTCTGTTTTCAATTTATTCTTCCTGTTTCATTCTCCCCTTTTCATCCTCTAGTTGGAGCGCACCAATCCCAGAGACAATACACAGGGAGGGAAGAGGCAGAAGTTGAGAATCTGTACAAAAGAAACCCTCACTGACTCTTCAGTCTTCTATTTTGACTCAGAAAAGATCAGGACAATGGGAAAGATTGCTAGTGGTTCAGCTCTGGATTGTCCAAACAACTTGAAAAGCCCCCTTTAGAGCTGTGTTTGGTGGGAAGGGCCTTATCATTAATCATTAAAGCTTATCATTAATCAAACACAAACACATTGATCCCTTTAAATTTAAACTGCTGCCCCTCACATACAGAGAAAGCCAGTGAAGTAACTGGTATCTTATTTTAGGATGTCTTGTCTCAGGTTATTGAGACATGTTACCGTCACTGTCACAGTAAATCCAAAGCAATCATGTAGATCGGCAGGAGCTGCTAGTGAAATCTATAATATAGCAACCTGATATAGGCTTGGTAAACAGGTGCTGCACTCTACAAGCCCATCACTGCTGACCCACTATTCTTTCACATAGACAATGGAGGCTTAATGATTTAAAATGTCTCTCCAAAGAGAATGCATTAAAGCTTCAGATTCATGCTTATAGTCAATGTCAAGATATACAGCAGAACTAAGGAGAACAGACCATCCGTTACAGTTCAATGGCTCTCCTAGGTGGCTGATGTGTTGGGGCACTATAACTCTGAACCACATGTATTACATTAATATTCCAAGCTATATAGATCTTGCTTGGAGCTTGAACATTCCCCATCCCCCCCTTAATTGGTCTTGGGTTTAAAAAGTTACAGAACAGTCATAAAGAGATTGATTGGTTTTAATTATGAAGCTCTATAACCAGAAATTCAGAAGTACTTGACAGACTGCCTAACCCCCAAGCTTGTCCAAGAAATTACTTACTGCTTCACAGGGCTCCTCACCGTTATTGTATGAAATATTAAACTAATTGCCATGGCAGCTGAAGTATTTTGGAAGGATGAAGAGGAGAAATAAAAAGGAAAAAGAAAAGCATTTGTATCCTTAACAACTAATGCACATTAGCTTCCCAGAAAGCAACCAGATGAGTAAATTGTGTCTGACCAAGAAGTCCTTACAAAACCAGCAGTTTGGAACATCTGTCATGATCCTAACAAACGTGCTCCCTGCCGTGCCACGTGGGCATGACAGGAGGTGTGACTGTGGGATCACTGGGGACCACTGTACTTTGGGCTTCAAGGGATTTCAGGGGAAAGCCCAAAATTTAACATTTGCCTCAACCCCCTGGAAAACTGTGATTTGGCTGGAAATGGCCTGAAACTGCAGGGCAGAGGGAAGGTGGGGAAGAAAAATTAAAAACTTACCTGAAGCACAGAGAAGAAAAACCGTGGAAGCCTCACATGTTCCCAGGGACAGCTTAGTAAGACTGAGCCTCTGCTGGGGCTAACCCAATCAAGTTGTTTGATTCCCTGCTTTGGCAGGGAGCTTAAAAGCCCTGCCCAGAGTATAGTAGGTAAGTACCCCTGCCCCAGGGGCTGCAAGCATAGTCATGCTGGGTGCCTGCCCCCACAGCCAGGCATGGGGTGCAGGGTGCTCCCACCACAGGGGCTTCCCCACTTTGTTTTGGTGCTGCGCAGGAGTGGAGAGGAATTTCCCCTTCCCGTTATCTTCGTGACAGGGAAGAGTGGGGCTGGGGAAACTCATGCCAGACAGGAGAAGCCCTTGTGGTGGGGGTACCCTTTACCCCGTGCCCAGCTGTGGGGGCAGGCACCCGGCATGGGTTTCCTAAGCCCTACTCTGCCCTGCCATGTGGAGAAGGGGAGGGGAAAATTCCCCTGCTCTCCCACATGGCAGCAGAACAAAGCAGGGCTCAAGAGTGATTTAATAACTTGTAATTCTTAATGAAACCATAATAAATACAAGTGGTGAGCTTTACTTAAAAGCTGTTGTTTAATAAGTGGCGAACTTTACTTTCTTAAAACAGCTGAAGAAGAGCCTGGGTGCTGCTGTTCAGTGGTAATCAGCTCCATGGTGGGCTCCATCAGCCAATAAGAGGTGTAGAAGAGCCAGCCCTGAAAAATGCCTGCAATTGTCTCCAGCAAATCTGCAGGGAGCCCACTTTTTCTCCTGCCGGAGCCTGAATTACAGTGGTCCCTAGGGATTGTACATCAGATCCCACTGCACCCTATTGCTTGTGCAGGGGGAATCCAAGATCATGATCCCAGGCTACTTGTGCACCAGCAAATACAAAGTTTCGCTCCCTTGTGCTCCTGCAGCTGGAAGCTCTAATCAGCTGATGGGGCCCTTGGCTCTGCTGCACTCTTGTAGCTGGGAATGCCCCATCAGCTGATCGAAGCTCCCACGCTCTATCCCAGCTGGGAGTGCCCATCAACTCAACTGGGACTCCCAGCCCAAGATCTCACAAGAGCAAAAGCCTCTGATGTGCTCCCTTTGCTCCGATCAGCTAAGTAGTTATCCCAGTCTCTGAACCAAGGGTGACTTGAAAGGTTCCACTGTGCTCAAAAGGCTGGGAGCGCTGGCCACACATTCAAATTAAAGGCGTGATAGGAACCAGTCACAAAGTTATTACATAAATTTTGTAGAATAACTTTGTGGCTTATTCTGCATTTTATCACACCATTACTTAAATGAACATATAGCCAGGTCACTGCTTCAGATGTGATTAACCAGTAAACATGCCTGTAAAAAGGCATGTGACACAGGTTTACAAGAAAGGAGCTGGGAGACCCTAAAAGAAGTCAAGGTTCTAATGTGCTGATCTAGGCCCTGCAGTTCAGTGGACGAGTCAGATTGTGACATACTGGTGTTCACAGCTCGCTCCGCCAGTAGACCCACTGGGAAATCTACAGGGGCCCCTGCACACCAAATCAGGCACTCCATGGTGCGGGAACTGATTTCAACATGCAGGGTTGCCAAGGGGGCCCCGGAAGCCTGTTCCAGCCAGGCAGGGATAGCACTGACCCTGTGCCATTCATCTGGCTCACAAGGCCAAAACTACAGTGCACAAAAGCACGTTATATTAAAGTTTTATGCATCCAGATTTAAAATTATAGAGATACCTATCAAAAGCTCTGGGTGCCCTAAATAATCATTAGCTGCACAATGAAATCCTAGTAGCATTAAGAAATAATTTCAACAGGAATTCAGTCAGCCAGATACCTAGAGAAACTCATTTCCATCTTTTTATCCTAACAGGAGGCATACATTATAAACAATTTTAATTCTATCAGGGAAAAGGCAATAACAAGCTCATGTGTCAAAACTGAATGCATAAAGCTGTGGTTAAATTAGACCAAATCAGGTTAGGGAGCACTCATGGCTCTAGGCAAGGTGCAGCAGCTGCTATAGGGAAAGCATGGCTTACCCAAGCCAGAGAAAGGAAGGGGCATCTGTGCTATATGCGTGCCACTACATCCCTGACACTTCCCTTGACTTCTACCAGTGATCCAAGATCCCCCAGCTGTTAGAGAAATTCAGATGTTACATATAGGGTAAGATAGCAAAATTATCTGTCCTGTTCACAAAGACCAGTAAAAAACAAAACAAACAAACAAAAAAACAATTAAACAAACGTAAAAGAGTTGATCTATTTCACTCATGCTCAGCTTACAAACCTTTTCCTCTTCATCACTTGATTCCATATGTTTCTCTACAACCTTTAACATGTTCCGTAAATCACTCTCAAATTCATCCAGATCTGCAGAAGCCTCTCCAGGCTTGTGGAGTTCTGACATAACAGGAACTCGCTCCTGACCAACAAGCATCTACAGAGCAAAGTAAAGCCATGCATATTAAGAATGTAATTAAGAGTAATTTCAATACACCCTTCTATGCAATAAAATTCCTACAATGAAAACATGTTTGCAGGATCAGCCTTAAAACTATATATTGTATTTATCCATTTTCAGAAAAGACATGTAAAAAGAAAAAAAGCCCAAATGAACCATAAAAAGCAGTACTACTTATGCTAGGGGATAAAATCTTACAGCCAATAGGCCAGATCCAGCTCTCAACAATTTTGCTACACTTTATCTGTTTGTGGGAAACATTTTATGTGATCCAGCACATGTGTGAGAACCCACCATTGAGTGCCTCCATCAACTGCTGCCTCTAGCCTGAGGAGGACCAAGCTACGTTAATAATTCACCCTGCTGTTACTGAAAAGTTGCCAACCCCTTGCTTATATTAGAGAGCTGCTATGCAGTCAAACACCACACATTTTTGCTTGTGACCTAAGTCAGGATTTGTACCCTGTGCAACTCTAGAAATGACTGGTTAGAACCTTAAACCTACTGAATTAATTTTACCCTATAGAAATCTACTTAGGTAAGCAATGAAAAGTACTATTTTAGTATATGAAAAAAACATCCTTATGAAGCACTTAATTCAGTGTTTTGATACATAAAATATTATCCTTCTTTTGTGAGGCATGACACTATTTTGCCAGGAGAACCTGTGCAATTCCACACTGGGGGTCCCCAGCGGTGGCAGAACCCCTCTGGTCTGCCATCACAGCAGTAGCAATGTGCACTGCTGGCCCTGATGGGAAAGCTGCTCCACAGCAGAGCATATAGTAGTCAGAAGGTGGGGACCTGTTCTAAGAGCTTCTCTATACCAAAGGTTTTCAAAACAGACAACTCTTGCCTCTTCCTGGCTCACCTTTGCACTTTTGATGTGCTGTGACACTTTCTCAAAATTTCGGTTCAGTTCAGCCAGCTTGGGTTCTACAAGTTCCTGGCATGACACCCCACGACCGTTCATTAGGATAATAGCTTGATCACGCACGTTATCCACTCGGAGACTAACATCATCTAATTCTGCCATTAAACGCTGAGAAGCAAAAGCAAGAGAGGTACTACATTGGAAACAGAAAACAGCCACATTTTTCTGGCCTAATCTCATGTGGAATTTTATAGTCCCTGCTTTAAAAGATTACAACTCCTACCTTCACTGTTTCTTCCTTTTTGCTTGCTGGCTTTTTCTGAATTTCATCCAACAAGGCTTCAGCTTGATAGAGCCAAGTACTTATGTGGGCAACATTCTCATCAAAGATCTCCAGCTGGCTCTGATGATTCTGGAAAGAGATGGGTCAGGGAACAAACACATTTTAAAATGCTCCAAGAAAGGAAGGACCAAAGAACATGAAATACTAGGAAGTTACATTTAGAAACACAGTACACAAGGCCAAACAACTCCACTGACTGGGACCAACATCTGGATAGCTATGAAAATATGCAGTTGATCAGTACCTTCAGAATCTAAATGTAGCAAAACTCTTGCAACTTTAAACTTGTTTTGTTCAGGGTTAAATTTAAAGCAATGCATCTCATTTGTATCACTGCAGGAACCTACAAACAGAGTATGCAAGTGTAAGTTAACTTGCATACTCTGCATTTCAACTGATGTGGGTTCCTAAGTTGCAACTCTCTCCCCCATTTTGAAGGAATTAAAGAAAGAAATTGGACTGACTGCTGAAAAATCATATTGTTGACTGGAGTATAATTGTTCATTTTTCTATGGCCATGAACTAATAAGGTGATTTGCCCAAACCAATGCAGCCAGTCAGCGGGCCTTTAAACGGGGAATTCCCAAATTCCTGTTTCACAATGTCATGATTTCACAGCTGGACCACAATTGTTCTATGACCACAGCATATTATCCTTTTAAAAAAATGTTTCTTTCCCTGCTGTTGCTGTCTAAAAAACCAACACAAAGAGAAGAGGAAGCTGACTACCCAGGAGAAATATCTAAATTGATGACAACCAAAATAAACATGATGAATAAAAACTGAGGAGAATATTTTGTCTTGTAGTTATATAACCTTAGTTGTAACAATAGTACATGCAAAAAACATCCACACCAAAGTAAATCTCTCTCAAATTAAAGGAATATTTTTTACATAGAACTTGCAGTGCTTGGTGTGGTCTTGTAATTTAGTCATCATTTAATGCAGTCCCCAGACTCTGGTTATGCTTGTTATGCATTTTTTCACTCTCCAGAAAAATAACCATACCATGAATATAGTAATGATTCTGTCGGGATTGACTCAACTCAGAAATTTCAAGTTGTGTGCTAGCAACACAGAAATCCCTACATCAGCTCCCTTGACTCAGTCCATAATACAGCGAAGCTAAACTAAACTTACAATGAGAGAAAGAACAATAGCAATTGGGCTCCTATCCCCAGAATTATCAGTAGGAAAGAAGGGCTGGGGAAAGCAGATAATAGGGTCAAGTGCAGAAAATAAAGCAGAACTAGAAGTTTATCATAATACAGTAATAGAAGAGGGATGGAATTTAATAGTACAATGAGCAATGTCATGAACTTAGGGACTAAAACCAAGAATTTGTTAGAACACAGGGATTGCTCAGTTACAGATGGGAGAGTTGGTGAGAAACGAGTGTGTATCAGCTAGTTACAGGATGACTGTAAGCCACCAATATGATGCAATGGCACACATGATATTAGGATGCACATTCAGCTCCGGATGCAACTCTTGGCCTCGACACAGAAAAGAGCTTTCTTTGGGAGGGCAATTCAGCAAATACTTAAACTCAGGCTTAAAGTGATGTTCTAAGTAAGGATGGACTTAAGCAGGAAAAAAGAGAATAAGGACCACTATAATTAGTCAGACCAAAGGTCCATATACATACTTATATATATAGAAAGAAAGAGAGAGAATATAAGAACCAGCACTTGTGTAAAGTGATCCTTTCCCTGTCATACTCTGACAGGGATCTTAAGTGCTTTCCTGAATTTAAAAGGCGAACCACAGCCAAATGATCAATTATTACATCACCAACACCACCACTAGGGGCACTAGGGACCTAGAGCATTCAACTCCACATTGGGGTAGGGAAAAGGTGGCATTTCATATTGCTCAAGAGAAATTTCTCCAGGCTGACTAAGGAGCAGCACTAAAAACCTCCTATAGTTAACGAATCTTTTTTTGGCTACCACCATTGGTTTACAGCAGAACAATGCTAAATCCACGTGTTTATACTAAGATACTGAGAAAAAAATTACATGGGATCATAAATATCTAAACATGTTAACAGATGGTCACCAAATGCATGCTTTTTGTTAATTACATTGTTGTATGTTGGTGTTGTTGTTATAATGCACCATGCAGGAGCAGGACTGCATTTCACTAGATGTAGAACTGCACAGTAAGAAAGGGCTCTGCCATTAAAAGGTTTGCAGAGTACCGTGAGACAGACAGCCATCTTTTAATCATAGCCATGCATGAGGGTAATGAAAAGAAAACTGTGCAGTTAAATAGCAACCACAATCTACTTGAAGTTATCAAATAATTTTTATTCCATTCTTTTTTCACCCTGTTGGGCAAAGTCAACTATGGTATTTGTGGGTCATTAGAATTACACCAGGCAGAGCACTCTTCTGATTTGAGTAACTAGTAATTCTTATAAGTAGTGGTAAAGTAAAGAGAGTAAAGTAAAACACTCACACAGATGCCATGGTCATACATGCTCAAGTCTGCAGACACTGCCTAGCAAACTTGCTGTACAGTAAATACACACATTCCTTGGTTCTTATAGCCATCAGAAAAGAGCCGGTACACAGAGTAGTTTTAGACTTTGATGCTAATCTCTTAGCCAGCTCTTTTCAAATGGGGACAAGAAGAAAAACGCAGAGCTATGGTAGACTTTGCAGTAAGGAGAAGAAATTAAAACAATGTAGTGAAACAGAGTGGCAGTGTAAGGTTTCAAAAGGGTCAGAGTAGCACACAAGAAAGATAGTCCTGGCAGGTACACTATGGATGGGTTCAAGGGGAGAGTGATGTGTGTCTTAGGGCAACTACAAAAGAGGAAGTTGGAACAAACCAAAACTGGAGAGAGACTGAGGATCTGGACAAGGGTTTTAGTACTGCGGCCAGAAATATAAGGTCAGACATTGAAATAAAAATGCCTCACTATTTTTATTCTCTATGAGCATGCATTTCACTGCCAGTTTAGAGAGCCAAGTTATCTGTGCACCTTACATATTTAATGTAGGATCTAGGCAATGGCAACTTGCATTACATACCCAGGAAGTATGTGATACTAATGCCTGCCAATTGATTAAAAATATCCATTGCCTCAAAACAATCCCCCTTCTTCCTCCTTTTATTTATCCTCATAACATGCTCTATGTCTACATAACAGAGGGCATTCATCTACCCCATCCCCTTAAAGGCTACGAGGTAGAACGGAAGGTTTACTATGAAAACAGAAGGTATGATGCCTTGTAACAACTCCAAAACAAAAACCTGGACATAACATTTTCATTGTTCATGCAACTTACCAACAGAGTATTGCACCAGTCATCAGTCCAAGTCCGAACCCGACTCCAGCCAGCATTCAGGACACAAAGCTTCTCCTCCAGGGAAGTTTCACTGCCTTCCACCAAAGTCTGGAGCACTGTACTGCTCTCTGTGATGCTATTTAGATCAGCTTTCCTCCTTTCCAGCTCCCTCAGCACATTCTGAAATGAGAGGAACAATTAACAGCACATCCACAAATTCCTATGGAATGCCAACGCAAAACAAGGCAAGAGATTACTTTCTATACTCAGAAAAGCATAAATCGTTTTGTTTTTTTAATGGCCTGTTGATTTTCACTTGAGAAAAGGCATTCACACTGGACGTAAATGTCATTTACTTAGCCCCTAAGTAACAGCCAAGTATGGTAGAGTGCCTACTGCCTCAGTGTTAAAAATCATTTCTGTACAAGTCTTAGCTTTACCTTATTTACTCTGTTTCTGTTAACATAATGGTTTATCACGGGCTTTAATGGAAAATAGCTAGGCCAATGCTGAATATTACTGAAAACCCCCACAGTAGCTTCTCCAAATGCTAGGATTGTGTTCAAATTTTGTTAAATTATCAGTTAATTAGCTTGTAACAATACAGCCACTGGGACACCTCTACAGCTTTACACAATATACAACAAAGAACTATTTCAATTAGTTCCCTTCATCTTTGTTTAATATAAAGGTCTGTTTCTCTCTTCCCTTCATCATAGTCATATTTAAATGTATTACAATCCTGTAAAGAAGTTTATTAATAGCAGGAGGAAGCGAGAGGAGTGAAGAAAGGAACTCCCAAATGTAATCATCTTTGGATGATCGCAGCATTATACACAGGAATCAAATATCTCACCTTATCAAGCCATCCAGGGACTCACCATATAGATTCATTAATCACTTTCACTAATATACAGCATCTAATTATTTCTAAAGCTCCTTTATTTTATAATACCTTCCAAATTTTCTCCTCTCTCATATGCAAGAATAGAGCTTTGGGTGACTCAAACTTCTTTCATCAGAGGAATACTTATTTATTAACCTCATTGTTCTAAGTAAATGCAAGTAATTAAATGTAATGTATATCATCTCTGTTATGTTACTGGGAAACCTGATGAATGCACAATTACTGCCTCTGATATAACTGTGTATTTGATTGTAACATTACAGTTGTGAACTGCATGCCACATAATTAAGAGCATTACTTAAAAGAAAGGATTAGTGTTGGATAACTTAATCAGATTGACTGGGTAAGAAGAGTTTATAATATGAAACGTTTAATTTTGTAATTTTTTTGTAGTTGTCTCAATATTGTGGAAATGTCTGCAACAAAAGACGTAATAGCGGACAAGTACCAAAGACTAGTAATAGTGTATTAAATAGTTGCCAACTCAGAGAACTGCACACAGAAAATCCCCACATCAGTGTCAAATTCTAATTTCTTTAATATAACAAACAGAACTGGTCAGGAAATATTTTTTCTACTTCATCAACAATTTCAACTTATTGAAAAAACCAGGAAAAAAAACCAAGTTGGTCAAAAGCCAAAAACGTTTTTAGTTTTTGGTCTTTTATTTTTTCCAACAACCCCCTGCCCCTCCCCCCCAGGATTTTACAAAAAAAGTCTCTTTCATTAAAAACCAAATTTTCCATCAAAAAGTTTAAATGAAAACTTTTCAATCAGGACAATTATTATGATGCTAATGGTGCAATTGATCATTTAAAAACATGCTTAAAGACTGAAAACTGTGTACATGATTTTTTTATTCAGTTAAAATCCTATTAACAGCTAATCCTTAACTTCAGTGATAATTCAATGGCATTTATGTAGCGTAAGTGGCTCGTGGTTGAAGATGTTTTAGTCATTACAGATGTGTAACACAACTCCAGTGTGTTCAACTCCAATAACTCCAATTAGAATTGAATACTTAAGATTTAGGAACCAAAAATTAGTAGTTCAAATCTCCAGTTACTTCCTAATGTTATCCTATAGTTAATACAATAAAAATTTCAATTTATCCAGGTAATATAACTATTTGCTCACTTTAGCCCAAGCAATTTCTATATCCAGGTCAGCAAGCAAACTCTCAGAAGTAGACTTCTGCACCAACTCAGCCTCAGTGGTGGTTAGCCATTCTGACAAGGAGGCAATATCTTTTATCATTTTTCGTGCCAGTTGTGATGCTCTTTCTAGGTCTTGCTTTCCTTCTGTCACCTGCAAGAAGCAGTAGCAATTAAATCACTCCCACCAAGAAGCATATGGTAGAACATGCTAAATCACTTTAATACATTATGAAGCTGTATGCACTGCAAACGTGTGCTGAAAAGAAAATTAAACTGCTTGAAACATTTACGTTGTATTGCAGAGAACAAAGAAACTGATCTCCTTCCACTAAGTGATCAAAACTTTAAACTATAGACTTAACTTCTCACTGCGTGTTTAAACAAATGCACACAATAAATTTTACAACTGTTAACTGTCAATTTAAACAACTGGCAATGTTTAAGGCACCACTATCAGATTGAAGCTTAAAGTATTACCCTGTTGTTGTGAAAGTGAATATTAAGTTTTCTTTACTTTGTGAATGGAACCGTTATCAAAATGAGTTTTGCACTCCCTGAAATATAGTTCTGCCCTGAAAGAAAATGTAACTGAAGATGGCATTGTGGGATTCCATGTTATTGAATTTTAATGGCCATCACTTCAAATGGGCTAAGCACAGAAATAATTGGCCGCATCCACACAAGCATGGACATCTGGTTCCCCGGGGACAACAAGCAACAGCACACCTTGTGCCGCTGCTAGTTGCCCCAGGGAGCACCTGTGCCACGTGCCCTTTGGTGCACAGCAGGTTACCCCACGTGGGGTAAGGGAGGCAGAGATGCATCTGCGGTACCACATACCCCACAGCCACACTTGTCTGGACGCAGGCATTGGGTCCAAGTCAACCAACGACCATGGAATCCACTTCACTTTTTGCTCATCATCAGTATAAAAATCTGCAGAAAAACCCATGAAACTAGAAAGCTAACATTGCCTTCTGAGGCTTATAACTGCTGGGACTTACTGAACAGTTCTGCTGATGATGCATGAAAAACAAAGAACAATTTCCTCTTGGGTAATAGTGTTAGTTGTGCATAGCAAAAGTACACCTCTGAAACTGGATGCCACAGGAATTGACTTGGTTGAAGAGAGTAGCACCAAATTGCATACCACTTCTCACCCTTTTCAACAACAGTATACTATGGTTTTACCAAATAAACCCCAACTCAAGAAATCAAAGTAAATTCTCAGGGCCAGCCTCTAATTACAACAGGATATATTAACCAACTGGGAAGTGTTATATGTCCCTCCATCCAGCAGTGATTTGCTGTAACCTACAATGAATAATTCTTTAGTAAACCAGGGTTCCCTCCCCCATCTAATTCAGAACAGAAAAAAAATAACATTTTTTTATTTAGGTCCAAATGAAAATAATGGCAATATTTGCACAAAATATCTAAATTATATTAATAAGTTGGGTGAAATATTTTATTACACCAGCTGTCTAAGGTAAGTCCCAACTGTAACATTCCTATAAAAAAATATGAGAAACCCTACCAGAAAAAATGATAACAGAATTCAGTGTTTGCATGTATTACTGAAAGTAATTCCTCCACAGGAGCTCTGAAAAATAAGTGGGCTGCAGTTTCTTGTCCCTCCCGCTCCCTCCTCCCAACTGAATAGCATTGGAATGCTGCAAATAGCTGTGACTTTATGATTAGTTGTCACTGATTTCCCATCCAGGTGCATAACAAGCAGTTAATGCATAAGTCTCAGTGGAAACTTTATTGCTCTGAATTGCCACTACTTACTACAATAAAATGACTCAGGAAGCACATTTCAAGATGTGTGAATCAAGTTACTTGGCCACATACCAGTAACATCACCTGAACAATGCTAAATCGCTCAGAAATCTGTTCCCTTTTAGATCTTAATTAAGAAGTGCAAAAAAATTAACAATGTTCTTTGTCAGGGGTTTATTTAAAGACTTTTGCTTTATTCAGTCTGGGTAGATAAACCCTTTCCTAACTAATGTAAAATCCAAATCAATATTTAACACAGTTCTTAAAGTCACTAAGTCTCTGTGTATTGTCTTCCTACTTTTCATTTTACCTCCATATTGAAGAAAAAAAACCTCTTCAAATCTATTTAGTTTATAATTTAGCCAGACACCTGTTTGCGGAAGTTAAAAGAAAAAAAAAGAAAAGAAATGAACTGAACCACACTTTACTGGAAGCAGCAGTGCATGTGTTCAACCCAGCTTTGCACTGTCTGTATTGAATCGGGCGCTTCAGGGGGGCTTTTTGGTGCTTTTATCTAATCAGCTAATAGACTGAATCAGCTATTAGATAAAAGTGCCAAAAAAGCCCCACTAAAAGGCCTGATCTATACAGACTTTGGGCAAGCCAGATCAAACTAACATGATGCCTCTTTTGGGCATGTGCTTGGCACAGCATGGGAACACGTCAATTTTAAAATCATTTTGTTTTGTTTTTGTAACGTCTACAAGCAGCCAAGGACTACAACTTCCCACAAAAGGTCAAAAAATCATGCAAGTATCCTGTACAAGGTTATAAAAGTCACTTTATTGTTAAACAGATCTTGGTTTTCTTTAAATTCACACTATAGACTCCTAAACAGGGACAAGCTTTTAGATATAACATGAAGGAAATGTAAAGATTGGAAATGATCTAATTTTCCATGAGAAACAAAGCAACAACTACAACAACAAAATCAGCTACCATCAAATAAGGATTGTAAAGAGAAGTGGTCAATGCCAGTTTGTTTACTAGATGAGACTTTTTTTAAACACACAAAATAGAACCAGGAATCACCCTACATGAATAACAGTTCTTAACACATGAACACTGATCTCACAACTGACTGCTCCTGGATGCAGCAATTTGCCCACACAGTGTCAGCTGCAGGATCTGAAACTTAATTTTCAATTCTGATATTGAACTTACCATTACTATCAAACAAGTATTTACAGTAGGGGAGAAGCTATGTATTAGGCCTGTGCAAATAGGGAAGTATTCCATAGTTTCATAGTTTCTAGGGTCGGAAGGGACCTGAGCAGATCATCTAGTCCAACCCCCTGCCATGGCAGGAAGAGCACTGGGGTCAAACAACCCCAGTAAGGTGGTCATCCAACCTCTTCTTAAAAACCTCCAGGGTGGGAGCCTGCACCACCTCACTTGGAAGCTGGTTCCAGACCCTAGCCACCCTGACTGTGAAGTAGCGCCTCCTGATGTCCAACTTAAACCTTCCCTCCACCAGCTTGTGACCATTGTTCCTGGTCACTCCTTGCGGC